TAGCCTCATATCAGTTTGTGTGTTTAAAAACAGCAATACAATTTATTGTTATTATTATTGTCATAAGTAATTAAATAATTGCTTTTAGGGCAATATTGTATCACTTTTGTTACTCTTAAAAGAGCTACACAAAAATAAACTGTATCTAAGGTTAAAGCTGAAATATATTTGAAATATGATTTTGCACTGGGTACATGCTGTTTTTATTACCATGGCATTATCTTTGATAGTGTTATAGCGCTCCTGCAGATCTTGGAGCTCCAGTTGAGTGACAAAGTTCTCAGCGATACTGGCACTCTTTGCAGTGATGGTGTCCAGCACGGTGTTGTGGCTGAGCACTTCCTCATATAGCAACTGAAACAACAGAGGATGAGTTACACAATCAATCAACTGTGCATTTTTCAAGTTAATCTGTTGTAGTTAATTGGCTCATGTGACTTTAAACCCTACACTGCTCATTTTCATTTAACTAAATCATTTAAATGCCTTAATAGCATACAGATGATTGCAGTACCTTGGCTTTGCTCAAATTAGCAGTTTTGTCTCTCATCTCAGGGCAGTGTTTATCAGTGGGGTCAAGACTGTCCTCCACACGCTCCACCCATGCCACAAACTGGCGTACATCCTCCTGGTAACTGGTCCACTGAGACAGGGAACCCTCCAGCTGACTGTCAATTTTAAAGTACAACAAAGTCAGACAATAGTGCAGTGGCTGTACTAATACAAGTTCAGGCAAGAAAAATAACAGCAGCAGTTAGACTCTGGTGTACACTGTCCACATTTTATGGTTAACAGTTTGAGAAAAACGTGTTTTTCATGAAGCTATGAAAAGCCTGTTTGAAACACATTCTTAGGTGTTGTTTGTGGTTGAGAACTAACCTTTTGCATTGGATTGAGGCTGAGAGCAGGGCATCCCATGAATCTTTTAGGTCTTGTATTTGTTTTTGGACTATAGGCACTCCCTCAGCTGAGGTGTTTCTCTGAACTGACTCTCCTCTTGTGATCAGCATCTTCAGCTGGATCTCTTTCTCCTGACGAGCAGTCAGCAAGGCCTGGTGCAAAGGTCACACATGTGCATTTATCACACTCCTATAATGGGTATTCAAAGTGGTAATTCTAATTCTGAAAACTATCAGTGACTTTATACCTCCAGCTTGATCATCCTGCTATCAAGAACATTTTTGTCAGCAGTGGGGGCACAGTAAGTCTGCAGCATGTGGCTGGTGTCAGCCACCCAGTTCTGCAGCTCCTTCAACCCTTGGGAGAAAAGCTGGTGCTCAGTGACTATTCGGTCAAGCCGAGATGTCTTCTCCTGCAGATCCATAGAAAAGGACACAACCAGAACATTACCACTATAGGTTTTAGATACTTAATCCACAGTAGGATCAACTTATAAATGCACATGCAGATTATTTGATGACTAATAAAGATTTAGTACAAATTACAAATTTTGAAAACATTTGCGTATATATATCCTCTATGTAAGACTTACTGTAACAAAAGAAAGAAATGAGTGTTTAATCATGGTGAGTTAGTACCTTCACTGTTCATCATCTGTAAAAAAAATGTTAAGTCAGAGCTCAATCCAGTCTAGTGCCTCTGTCTCCTTTCCAGCTCTACCCCCAGAAAAGCCCCAGTGCACAGGCAGATTGGTAGTCATTACTGTACCTTGGTCAGGTTGGTTAAAGCTAGGTACTGAGCAGAGAGTTGCGAGACACGGTGCACAAAACCCTTGCCGGCCGCATGTTCATCCAACAGCAGCTGGGCCTTCTCTTTCAGCCTGTTCAGCTGAATCTCGTGAGAGGCTAACTCCTCAAGCACAGACTGGAAGAGCACAAGCAGGTTATCAAAGAGGCATGCAAGCTGACACACAGATATAAGAATTCAGACACAGACTGAAGGGTTAGAGATGGCAACATGGCAAAAAGAAAATAGATTGAGATATTTGGCCAGTGTTACTGTTGGTAAAGCTCTTGGTGGTCATGACGTGCAGTCAAGGCATCTGGAAATAGCTGGTAGACAGTTTTAAGCAGATTGTAAAAGCACTTATTTTAAAAAAAAAAAGCTGGTATTAATCTACATAAGAGATATTGTTAAGAATATATGTGAAAGTAGTAGTAAAGAGGAGTAAAAACATGGCAGAAGTTCAAAAAGTAACTGGCAGTTAGCATAAGCTGTTGGCAGTGCTTTCTCAAAGAATAATAGCTATGCCAAAAGACTGTAACATAGCTAGAATGGTAAGTTTCTGCAGATGACAGAAATAGTCAGGTTGGCACTCAAGCACTGAGTGGTGGTTGCACATGAACATGAGTGGTGTTCCATTCTCAGTGTACATACAGTACCTGTAGCTTGTGAAGCTCTAGCTTCTTGGCTGTGAGATCATGAAGCCTTGTGCTGCTCTCCTGCACAGCCAGCTCTGTGGCATTCAGGCACTCCTGAAGAGGCTCGGCACTTGCCTCGAAATCTTTCATCTGGGACAAAACATTCTGCAACGCACAAGACGATATAAAGAGACTGCTGAGATATTTTGTTGACTTAAAATGTATTACACTTTTTTTCATAATGGCCTGATTGGTGAAAAGGGATATTTGGGCGCTTACTTGTAGACTTGTCTCTCTGTTGTGAAGGTTAGACATCATATTTTTCCAGTCCTCTCTGGCAGTGTTCATTTTAGCCCGAACTGCATCAACTTTGTCTTTCGCTGCGATACTAGAGACAAGCTCACCATTCACAACCACAGCATTCAGCTTAGACTGACCTTGCTCTCTGTCATTTAGAAACTCCTGACAAGAGAAGAAGAGAAAGATGATGTACTTAAGCATGTAGTGAAACTATTAATTTTATAATGTAGTCAAATTTTAACCCTTTATTGCAACAATATCCATTTTAGTTTGGCAGTGTGGATCTGTTCATGTTGATGTTCTGGAACAAATCTAAGCAAGTTTGACATAGTATCTGAACTAGCAAACATCCCTGACAGATCACAAGATATATAACATTTATTTAATATGAATTGATGCAGAGCTCAAAGTTGTTGTATTTAGACTAATTGAGCGCCAAAGGTTTATATGGACCGCCTATTGTGTGGCAGACATACAGTACTTGACTGGTGGGTATATGGTATATGTGACTATTGACTTCCGTGCCTGCCCGAATTACCGCAAGGCTCCATTTAGCTGTCATTCAGTTACAGTTTTATTTTGTGATGAGAACACATCGACAAGTTATTGCAAATTAAAATCACACTGTGTTGATAACCCCAGGGGTATTCAAACCTGTAATTCTGACAGGATAAGTGCCTTAATGTTCCATGGCTTTGACTTGGAACACTGTACCTGAATCTTCTGCAAGCTAGATGAGGCCTCATTGACATTTTGAGGTACGTCAAAGCACTTGGCTGTGTTGATCTTGGCATTGACCAACCACTGCTGGAATTCTCTGAAGGCTGAGCGGAACCCTTGTTCCAGTAGCTTCTCTTTGCTTTGGCACTCCTTGGACGCTTGGAGACTCAGACTAGAAACAAGTCAGGAAGAAAAAAACATTTTTCTACATTCAACATGTATCATTGTTATTCAATTTAGAGATCTGGATATTTTTCTTTTAATATAAGTTCTTTTCTCTCAGGCTTGTTGATTTGACTATTGGTTGTCAAGGCATTTATGCTCAGTTTTACCAGAAAAATAGAAATAACTTTACTTTACATCACAATCCAAAGCAAAAATTCTGTAATAAATTTTACCCATGTTTAGCTAGAATTAAAAATAGTCTTCTTGTTGACATTGTGTCGGAAAGGTGTCGATTCAATTATATAATAGGTCCAGGCGCTGTCTCTCCCTCTTCGTCTTTTTGCAGCTCTCACGCATTAGTTCTTGTTGACTGAGTAGTTGCGGTGGCTGCTATGTTGGTGTTCAAGTTTGCTGTCTGCTTAAGTGTAAAATGTTCTCACATTGTAGGTAAATTGCTTAACTATTAGATATGTTATCCTTGCCATTTAAATCAATTTAAAAACATAAATATTGTGTACCATTTAGTATGATGTCATCATGTAGACATCTGTCAGCACCCTCAAATGAGACTCACTAAAATGATGAAATTCAGGCCTGCATATATTGCAGTACAATATAATGCAGTCCAGCACAACAACACCACAAAATACAGCCCCAAACACAGAAAGAAAAACTGAACATTTAACTGAGGTAGTATTTACTGTGGGGCTACTATACTGCATTTTCCTACATTGAAGAAATGTTACTATTCTTCTGGTCACTCCTGGTGTATGGTTCTACAACAGATCCTGTGTAATACTATGGAAAAATTACACAAAGTTGCATGTAAACATAGCTACAGTTTTCCTTAAAGAATAATATTTACACCGTTCTCACCTGTTGTATTCTTTAATGAGAGCAGACACTCTCTCAGATTGTGTGCCCATGTCTCTGGAGAATCGGCACAGATCATTGAGTTGAGTCTTCAGACTATCGGACATGGACTCAGCTTTGACAAGTTCCTCCAAAGTGTCCTGGGTGGAAAACAAATAACCAACAACTGATGAACAGCCACAAATATGCATTAGTTATCCATTGCTTGTTTCCAATTAATGGTGGCTTATTATTGGAACTTAATAAAGCAAAGACCTACCTTTGCTATCTGCCAGCCTTTAACAGCCTCCTCTCCATCATTTTTTCCTTCTGCTTGAGCCAACCGCAGACGGCAGTCATGTAGCTGGCGGCTGAAGTCCCGCAGGTCCTGTTCCAGCTGTGTTGACCGGCTGGTGAACTCCTGTTCAGAGCTGGCTATCTGGGAGAGGGCAGTCTCCAGACTAGCCCGTGTCTGCAGTGCTCCACGTTCCCACTGTTCCCAGGATGACAACAGTGCTGCTTCCTCTCGTTCCATAGCCTCATAGCCCCCCGAACCAGTGTGATCTCTTGCCACTGCCCCACATCTTTGAACCCGGTTCAGCCTCTCTCTGCCTCGTTGCTTAGAGTCAAGCAACTCCTGGAAAGTGCAAAAGAAATCAAAACAGTCACTTCTAGCCATGAGTAAGGTAACTCCCAACAATACCTGTGAAGCACAACAGTGACAAAGCTTGTGCTACCCTGGACTTGAAAGCCACTTGAAATTCATTCCTTAAGAAAAGGTCTAAAGCAACATCTTTTCAGCGTTTTATTTATTTTTTAGATCTAGCCCCTTAAAACAGCAAAGATCATTCTGCAAAGGAAAAGCCAGACAACAGTTTGCGAGAGACCATTTTTTCCCCAACAAATGTCTTGCAAAAGCCATACTTGTGGACAGCCTTAGGTGTTTTCTCTGACTCTCCAAATACCTTCCTCATCTGGGCTTTTGCATATGAATACATCATCTGCAGCTTTTTTGGCATGTCTGTACTATACATACAGGTGTCCTTGTGTCAATAAGGCCTGACAAAGTCTTAAGGAGTCTTCACAGTCTTCATGTTCAGGATGTTCAACATGTTCAGGTTCTTTGGGGTCAATCATAGTAAAGGGAATCATTATAAATAAATAATGGTCATGAGACCTCAACTGTGACCAAACCAATTAAACTGTTTCCACAAGTGGCAGTTTTCTTTACATGGCCAGGAGTTCAACGATCCTGGAAGACCCCTCGAGGTCACACTGTTATTCCAATGAGAGGAGCCAACTTTAAACACCTAGTAAAGATGCCTATTTGTTGATGTATTCAGGCAACAACCGAGAGGGACAAGATCGTGGAGTAAATATGAAATGCTTTGGAGGACATACATCTCTTGCCTGGATCCGACCAGAAGCCACATACAGATTTTCTTCCTAAGTATAACATTTTAAGATCCTCACCTGCACCTTGGAGAGCTTTCTTTTAATGGAGACTGAGTCTCCTGACAGATCTGACCACCGCTGAAGCTCCTCTTTTGCTGAAATCAGCCAATCATTGAAGTCTCTCAGGGCATCAAGATACTGCTCATGCTCAGACACAATGTTTTGCATGGACTGCACTTTACCCTTTGTGGAAGAAAAAGACAATGTAAACACCAGCTACCAGTTTTGAATGAGGAACTGTCTAAATATTAATGTGGTAAATAGTATTTGCAAATATTTTATTGTATCTTTAGCCTATTTCTGTGCTAGGGTAAGTGTGACTGGAGTTTGCAATCTTGAAAGTTTCAAGTTTAACTGTTCAATCACAGTTAAATTTAATATACTAAAATTTCTGTCTCAACTTGCTTAATGTAACACATCTCTCTTCCCAGTGTCTGCCCTGTAGGAACAATCTTGGATCTCTCCCAGATGTAGCTTATTTTTGGCTAGCTTCTGAATTAATCGTCTAGGATCTAGCAATTATTTGCAAGAACTATTTAACCTACGCCTGTATTTATATCACCTTGACAACAGCTGAGATATCAGCAAAGTGTGCATTGAGCTCCGCCTTTGACTCTGGTCCAAAGGTCTGGTCGCCAGTTTTTTCATGCATCTCCACTGCTTTGTCTGTTAGGCGTGACAGTGCTGCTGCATGAGCATCCACATCAGCCTGGATGGCCCTAAGGCGCTCAAGCAAAGCAGACTTCTCTTTGAGGCCTGGCTGCAGAGGCAAAGTCATCCCCACCTCCTGCTCCACTGACTCCATCCACTGCTGCAGTTGGCTTTTACTTTCCTGAAAGCTGGTCCACTGGGCCACTGTCCACTCCAGACGACTATGGACAATAATACAATTTTATAAGAAATTAAGAAGTGCATTTACCCTCAATTATGACCTATGGCATCAGTGGATGTTCACCCAGGGTGCAGAAAATGACACACTTTCCTACCTGTGGCAACTCATGGACGTCATCAACATATTGGCCCAGGCATCCTTCAGGCTCTGTAGCTGTGAACAAATGGCCTCCTGCCCCTCCATTCTGTTATGTTTCAGTACCTGTTCACCTTTTCCTACAGTCATGTTGAGCTTCACCTCACCTTCACCCTTCATTAGCAGGATATCCTGCATGTATAAAAAACAGCAATTAAGAACTATAAGATAATGTCTGTGATTTGAAATATTTCCAGAAAACACTGTAATCCAAAGAATAACATTTTTGGATCAGAACATTATTCACAGACCTGTACGAGACCTAGCCTTTTCTCCAGAGTCTCTTTATTGCCAACTGTACTGTTGAGTGATGCCAGGCGCTCCTGGACTCCGCTAAGCCAGGACCAGGTAGTCTGTAGGGTCTCTTCAAAGGCCTGTTGCTCCTGTAAAGTGAGCTGGCAGCTGCGCAGCCTCTCTCTCACACGTCTCAGCAAGGCCTGGTGCTGTGACTGCAGTTGAGCTGACACTCTTGTCTCACTACCATCACCTCGTCCACCTTCATTCAGTGCCTGGCTCTCCTGACATAAGCGCTCAAATGAATCCCTGCATGGAAGAAAATGAAATGTTTAAGTAAGCTAAAGAGTACATTGATTAGAGACAATTACTCAGGATCCTCTTGGGGACCTTAGGAAACAATGAAAAAACCCACAACACGTCTATTTCATTTCTTAGTAAATACACAGACTTGACCTTTCTTTCAGCACTTCCTGCTGATATTCCTCCACTTGTTCGAGCATTGCCTTTTCAGGACCACGCTGCTTGGCTTCAATCAGATCTGTGGTCATCCTCTTTTCCATGTGCTCCAACCACCACCTGAGCTTCTTGAGACGACCCTCAAACCTACATGGAATTCACAATGTAATGTTTATAAATGGTTAGCTTCCAAAGTGCTTTACAGAACTGGGTTGTGTGAGTCTTTTACCCCTTCATGAGAGATGCACTGTCTTCCAGTATCTGTTGGTTCTGTCTGCACTGCTCCACAAAGCTGTCCCAGTCCTGCTGGATAGAGGAAAGGTGCTGCTGGACTTGCCCAGCGCTGGCTTTGGGAAGATGGAGTAGGAGCTTCTCTCCTTCCTCACAGACCTGAGTGAGACGTACCTCACCCTCCTCCACACGATCCATGGCGCCCTGACAGATAACCCACATCACTTTAAGCATTGTATTTGTAAATCCTGGCACAGATGATGTTTTTGAATCAGGAATTTCAGTTATTCTGTTTCATCGGTACTCTCATACCCATCAAAGACTATGATTTAGTGAAGTCTAGCTGTTCGGTTCCATTTCATTTTTACCTTTAGTTTCTGGAGTTTCCGTTCCACAATTTGAGTATCTCCAGATCGGTCAGAGCATTCTTTCACTATCTCCCTCTGTTCTGAAAGCCAACGATGAAACTCCTGAACCAGATCTGAGAAGGTAGGGAGAAAATTACAGAGTTAATATCTGGTGTAGATTCAAACAGAAATAATTTTACACTCAGTGGACACTATAAGATGTATGGCTTTTCAGCAAAGCAGGGAATGAATATGATGCTACAAAAAGTGTCTGGTCACAGAAACAGGAGGCAGTGCAACAGTTTTATGTATGGAAGAATGTATAATTTCAACACATTAGAACCTTAGTAGTACAATAACATATTGCATTAAGTGACAACTGAGTAAAACTACCCATTTTAATCAGAGTTGTTTTTTGAATTCCTCACCATTGAACTGCTTCTGAAGACAGTTCTGCAGTGATGCCAGTGTCCTAGTAGAAAGCTGGTTCACAGACTCATAAGTCTTGATGAGGTCAGTGAGAGCTGAACCCAAACCAGCCAGCTCCTCAGAGGGATATTTCCTACACAGGGTGTTGAGGCTCTCCCTGGTGGAGTCGATACTCCCCTGCTGATTTTGCAGCTCTTTCTGGAGTTCCTTCAAAACATGTTTAACAATGCAGTTTAGTTTATTAGTTTCCTTACATTCTCATTTCTGTCTTCTATGACAAAAGAAGGGTTGCCTTTCTGTAAGACCAACAACTCACTAACCAGTGACAGTGTCAAGAGTACTTTGTTTCCCAAATACTGAAATTTACTATGTCATTGATATTTAGTCTGCACCTTCACTCTGCATATGTCCTCAGGATCTGATCCAGTGGGAGAAGAAACAAGGGAATCCTCTATACTTTTTAACCATGCAGACATTTGTGAGATGTAGTCTTCCAGCTGTTTCCGTTGGGAAGTGAAGTCCATGAGATTTCCTCTAGCCTGTTCATGTAGTTTCTGAGCAGTGCTGATTTTTTTTCGAAGGTCATTCTCCAGCACCTGATGCATGTAGAATATGTTATGGTTGACACACATGCATGTGGAGAGGAACATCTAATTTATCTGCAGGGTCAGGGTTAATATTTGATCATAATCATCTTTAGTACCTGCAATTTAGCAGGGGTCTCTTGACTTTGACTGCACTTCTTCAGCTCTGATACTTTGCTCTGCAGGGTTTCAAGTTTCTGTTCCTTCTCACCCATTTCTGCCTGTGGATGTATAAAATGAGAAATTTGTATTGTATATATATTACATCTCTTACAGTTGTTTGTTTTGTTTGGTAATCTGATTCACACTGTGTGCATGTCTTTAGCCTTTTTGCCATTTATAGCAGGGAGCTATAATGTTAACAATTAGCTGTGTCTTCAGCATCTCTGACCAGATAATAATTTTTGGTTAACTTAACATATGTGGAAAAGTAAACATGAAAGTAAACAAATAATTATCCATAAATCTTACCTTTAAAATGGAGAGCCTAGCCGACACCTTCTGACTGTCATTGAGGTTGTTCAGGCTCTCATTGAGTTCAATCACACAACTGCTTGTCCAGCTCTCAATGTCCTCGTTGATTTTACGCACATCATCCCACAGTGCCAAACTCTGGTTCAGGCGATCAATGTTATCGTCTATCTTCTCAGACACCTGAGAAGTGGATTAAATCAGTCACAAATCTTTACTCTCTGTAGTATCTGACACTGAACTTTTATGTTTTAGGAGTTTGCCCTGCTAATGCAACATAATATAGATTCTAAAGCTCTACACTGCACTTATGTTTTGTATATTTATTTATTTAGTTATAGACCAATTTGTGTATATTATTTGTATTTGGAAATTAAGTTTATTCTGATTCTGCAAGAAACATCACTTCTAATATTTCCCGGCTGAGAATTGTGCCACAAACCTCAATGGACAAAAACCTTCAGGTCTCTTCCCTTGACCACACAGGACAACAATATGTGGAGTAAACACATGTGTTGTACTTGTAAGGACACCCAGCGTCAAATTTGGTGTGAGGACATGTAGCAAAAACTATGTCGGTAAAGATATTAATAGAAAGTATTAACTGGATCAAGCTGCAGATATTGCATTTTTTATTCTTGTCGACAAATTACATAAAAAAAAAAAATTGCAATAAATTGATCCTGTGAAAAAGTATTACCTGTGTAGCCAAAGGCCACATAACTAACTGCTCTGTGCCATAGTCCTCCATTGTTGTCCCAAAACTATTAAAAGTAAATCAGTAACACGTCAAATCAACATATCATGATTGCAGCAACTCCTGAAGTCGTACTTACATCTAGCCACTGATCGACAAGAGTCTCCATATCCTTTTTCATCATTTGAGCATCACACTCGGGGATCTTCTTCAATTCAACCACCAGCTGTTTTCCTTTACCCGAAAACTGGTCCAATTCATGTTGCTTGGCAGCCATCTCTACCTTCACTGCCTCATGCTACAAATGGAGTAAAGACAGCAAACCTTTTAAGCCTTCTGATAAACAAAGGGAAAACCCAGAACATTTTCTTTGTTCTGGATTTGTGAAATGTTTTATTACAAGAACATAAGATGAGGCACTTCCCTAAAAAGATAAAATAATTATGTGACCACACCTTAGTTAGTGACCTTCTGGCTTCCTCCTGATCCTTCAAAACAGAGCTTATTTCAACCAGAGGCTCGGTGCTCTCAATAATGCTGCTGATGGAGGTTTTCAGGACTTGGTATTCTCTCATAAGCTCAACAAGGACATTGCACTGCTCCTGTCTGTCAAAGAAAGAGAGGAATTTATTACCTATTCAAGCTTATATGTAAATTAACTACAAACATAACATTCAATAAACATACAATAAACTGCATAACAGTCAAAAATAAAATGAAAAAAATAAAAATAAAATATGCCAACAAGCTCTTGGAGTGTTAAAAAGTAATGAAAAACTGAAAATTCATCTATTTAGCCTTATAACAGTAGAAAAATTCTCATCCCAGAAGTGATGTAATATTTCAGAATAGCGTAATTTTACCATGTGGTCATAAGTGCAACAAACATGAAACAATCAACCCATAGAGGTCAGTGTACCAATGTTTTTTCCCCAAAAAAGACTGTGTTCCATAATGCTTTAATTAGTATACATGAGAAAAGTACTACAACAGAGAGTTCAAGTATATAAAAAAATGGTTCACCCATCTGCAACAATCGCACAAATTGAAAAAAAAAAAAGAAAACACCTTCCCATTGACTCTTTCTCCCAGTAATATCTTTTTCTTTGAGTTTTGCATTTCAGTATTGATTGTTTTAGTATTTTTTGTTTTAAGCATTGTATTTAGCTTTTACCAACCACCTTTTGCAATATTTACTGAATCAGTAGCATGGAAAACCCTCGTCCATTCTTTCAGTACCTATCTGTGATCAGCCTCTTCGTATCCTCCCATGTAGTCTCCAGCAGACTGATTTCCCTCAGTACCTCCCCAGCCAACTCTGCATCTCTCTGGGCCAGCTGGTTGCCCTTGTCCCTCAGCCACTGTTCCTCGTGCTGGTGTGACTGGAGCTCATCCTCCATCTGGTTAAAGAACCTTAGCCTGGCAAACAGAGGGATAATATGTTGCTGTTGCACATGTTCTCATACCCAATCATGGTACTAGGACCAAATGTTAATATCCCTACTACCTCAACTTTTGAATTATAGCATTAACCTAACATAAATATTGATATTATACTCTTATAATGATTTACCTCTGCTGTAGTGCATGCAGGCTAGGTTCTTTGAAGCTCTGGTGGTCAGCTTTTTCTTCTATGTCCTCCACAGCTTTGAGTAGTTGTTCTTTCCGCTGTCTAAAGGAGGTCCACAGAGCCCCCAGGGCCTCTGCTTCATTCTGCTTAGTACCAAGCAAGTTCCTCACAGCATCCAGCTCAGCACTGAGTGAATCAGCCAGCATGCGACATGACTTACGAGAACCCTCATCACCTCCAATGTGGAGATGGCTTTTGCAGAGACTGCTGTCCAGACTGACGGCTAGAGTCTCAAGGTGGCTAATGTCCGGGACAATAGTGGCCAGCTCCTGCTGCAGCTCTTCTACTTTCCCACGGTCCCAGCTGCCAGCACTCTCCACAGTCTGCTTCAGACCCCGCAACACTCCTGCAGCCACACTGTGGGTCTGCAGGAAAGCCTCGAGCCTTGCAAGGCACTCTAACTGGAGCTCAGCTATGTGCTGGGCCTCTAGGTAGGGCTGCAAACAGCTGTCTGCTCTGCTGCGGAGAAGCTGTGTATCACCAGGGTCACAGAACTGACAGAGCTTCTCGGCCTGCTGCTCCAAGCTCTGTCTCACACTGGACTGCTTCTGTAAGGCCACCTGGGTCTCCTGTCAAAAGCAAGCAATCAGTTGTAAAATGCTGCTTGTCTGCTAACTGACTAAGTGGCTCTGGAAGGAGTAGCATTCTGCATGCACAAACGGATGAACAATGATTCTGTGTGGTTCTTACCTTTACTTTTGTGGTGGCAGACTGCAGGTTGCTAATGTTGATTTGAGAAGCTGAGTGCAGATTTGAGAGCATGGTCTCACTCCACTGGGAGAATTTTACCAGGGCCTGGTCAAACTGCTCTACCAGTGAGAGGTGGCTCTGAAGCTCTTTGATTCTGTGGGACAAAACGACAGGTTAGTGATTCTAATCAGCAAACAAGAGCTGTTTTAACTAGCATTATACTTTTCAGTATTTTATTAAATGCAGGCTGAAGTTTGCCACACACAAAAAATGAAATATGTCACGTTCTGATATTCTCTCACTGTTACACTATGTTTAACCATAAACCTATGGTGTATTTTACATGCTTAATATCTGTAATTAACATGTTCTATATTGAATATGTTGTCTAATTGTCTTGTCTGCATTGTCTTCCAGTATCTTCAACCAAGTCCAGTTGCCCTTGACTTTAACCTTCTTTGGATAATATGTTGTCTAAGAAAAATCCAAAACATAGCATAGCCAGATTGAGTAGACATAAGCATTTACCACTGATATTTTAGACATGTATTAATTTTACTGTATTTGCATCATTGTTTCATTTGTTTCAACAATTACCCACACAAACACAAAACATACACCACAAAACAACCATCATCAGTAGCTGTGTTTTGTCAGTATCAGGTTGATGTTCCCTTTAATTGCCCTGATGGACCAATTGTTAGGTTTGTGAAAACTGTGTAATAAAAGATACTGACAAAATTTGCTTCATCAGACAGGTCCCTGGAACAGCATGTGTATGTGTGACCTGATAAGGTAAAACAGAATATCTTACCTTTGAGGGAGGACTTCATTTTGAACATGCAAACTCCTCTCTAGGGTCTCCAGCTCGTCTTTTAGTTGCCTCACTCTCTCTTCTGGTGCAGTCGGACACAAGGACATCCCCAAAGATACCAATTCAGTATGAGCGGGCTCAAGGGACTGGACCTCAGAGTGTAAAGCCTGCAGGGAGAACATACTTTTCTTAAATAAACATTCATGCAAAATATAATATCTATGTATGTACATGCACTATTTATTCATCATGTTGTGGGGGCAAATGTCTCTTCACATTGTCATATATGGGGACAAAAATTTGAACCTTAGCATGGACCATTTATTTTTTCCATTATTTTGAAATTATTTGGTTAGAGATTTGTTTTGGAGAACTATGTAAGTATGTGTGCAGGTATTGTACCTGCAAATCTTGTATCTCCGTGCGGAGCTTGGTTTTATCAGCTGACAGAAAGTGACTCTCTGGTTTGGATGCAGATTCACTCCTCTCCAAGCAAGAAACAATGTTTGAACGCAGTTTCTCATACCTGAAACACATCAATAGAAACACTGGTACCTTAAAGTGTGTGTGTGTAATGTGTTGACATTACTATCAGCATTTCTTATTGTATATATCTGTCCAAGATAAGCCAGTGATCCAACTGAACTGTAAATGCATGTATTGTTCAGTAGCTCTTACTTTTGCCAAAGAGAAAGCAGGTTTTCCAGTGTGCTCTGTTTGTCCTTTGCCTCCTGTACACTTTGGTCATAGCTTGTGTTTAGCTCTGTCACAGTCCTTTCTGCTTGCTCTCTGTCACTAAGTCTTCGGGCACCAGCTGACAGGGACAGCAAGGTTCCCTTCAGCTTTTCCAGATGCTGACAGACATCCTAGGGAACAAAAACACAACACAAAAACACAAGACAGTGACCAACACAGCATTACCTGCGAGCTGAAAGACTGGCACAGAAAAGAACGATCTGTATTATGCTTTGCAATTCATTTTTGAAAAATACTGTTGGCATGTATAGTTTTTTAAATTAAAGGAGAAAAGCATGATAACATTTGTTTCCTTCCAAATATATGATTTTGTATTAAAATATAAAAGTATAACAATTGAACACCATGTGGTTTTGAAGAGCTTTGTAGGTCTCTGATGAGGCGGTGCAGGATTTGATAGGATGCTCCAGTTTTGATTGTAGTTCACTGAGAGATGCTTGCACCTAGGAGAGAATAAAGATTTAAAAAACTAACTGCATGTTCATATCTTCCCGAGATGCTATTCTGTATACTGCCATGATATTGAAAAAATGACCAATAAGCCCCTTTACCTCCTCTAGGTTGATTTTGAACTTCTGCTGGTGAGAAGAGCTTTCCTCCAGCTGTCCATTCAGCTGCTGTACGCTCTCCTTCAGCTCCTCCCAGTACCTGCCGATTTGGGTCAGACGGGCCTTGATGCGAGCTGCCTCCCCTGAAGATACAAACTGGGCTAGTGCCTGCGAATCTGCCTCCAGCTGAGTAGGAACCTCAGCTCGCTCCTGAAGCTCTGCACCAATAGCCTGGACATGCAGGTATGGAGACAAAACAATAAATAAGACTGAGATAATCACTATCTTTCTTAATTGACCAGTGGAGTTGAAATACTATGGAATTTTGTTGGGCATTGGGGAGTGGTGTGTACTGGTTGGTGACTAAAATGGCCTTTGCATTTTACACCATTGCACATTAAAGTTACCCAAAACAGTGGCCATTTAAATGAATACCAAAATGCATATAAATTTTAAGTTTCACAGAAAAGAGCAAATAATCAAAACTATCAAAAATGCACGAGGGCTTTTTTAATTTATTTGTATTTAACCTTTATTTAACCAGAGTCTGATTGAGATTAAAGTCTCTTGATGCAGCAAAAAGAACATGAAGGATAACTTTTGAACACAGCAATTACACATTCCTAAAATAAGCATAAGCCCCCTAGTTCACTGAATAAGGCAAAAATAAAATTTTAAGAACACAAAACACTGACCAATATTCCCCTGCTCCATATCCTTAAGAATTGAAACAAACTGTCTATAAGGTAAGGTATAAGGTTTTCTTAAGAATTACACCCTCACCCTACAAGCACCATTTGTGTTGAAGACAGAGGACTGATGTTAGAGTCCAAAACAGAGACAGTGTGTCCGCCCTTGGGCAAAGAAGGCCTGTTGTTGCTTGTTACGGCTGCCACCGCCCCCACCTGTATTTGCCTGTGCTTTCAAGTGGGCTATCTGTTATGCTGAGCAGGCTGTGCAAGCCCACGCGGAGGATTGGCTGCACAAGGAGAGAAGGTCCCGCCTACTTCCTGGGTTTCCAGTTACCATGCCCTCGATTGGTGCGGCATGCTACGGGCCAATCAGATGGAGACCGTGACGACCACCACCTGCTTAAAAGCCTGCTGGGTCTGCCATTTGGGGCAGCAATCTGACCTGAGTTGCTTGCCTCGGGAACGCCTGTCTTAGAGCTTATAGTAGTGTTTTGTAACCCGTGCTAGACTTTGTGTCTTGACTTTGTGTGTTTCACTGTGTGAAGGTAAGAGAGTGGGCCAGGGCTAAGCTTAGCTATCACTGACACCTTTCTTGCACACACCATAGTTGTTTTATGTTAGTTTTCACCAGGTTCAGGGGTGCTGTGCGTTTTGTGTTGTGTTTTTCAAATGCAGTAGGCTAGTGAGCTTTTTGGTTTATTTTTGTTTTATTAGTATCTCTGTAAGCAGTAATCCTCCTTTTGAGGATCTCCTTTTTGTTATAATTGTTTGTTGATTTCCACAGCACCCATTGGCCCATCCTCTGTTTGTGCTCCACTTGCATTATTTCAAATAAATATCCTTCCAAACCAAGAACATCTGGTTTATGTTTATGTCCCTATATCCCTAGACACCTTGGGACGTAACATAAGTGGGGGCTCGTCCGGGATAATCTAATAATCCGGGGGAAAGGATATTTATTGGAATAGGGTAAGGGAGCACACTTAATTGATAAGCTGGTACAGCTGATTGTGTAGATGCAATGGCTTCTGAGCGTTTTGATGTGGAGTCATTTTTGGTAAATCTGACTCATGACAAAGTTCACGCCTGTAGGAAGGATGACCTGGTTAAAGTAGCAAGTCACCTCCAGATTCCGGTAAGTAAAACAATGTTAAAAAGGGATCTGAAACCATTAGTTGTGGCTACATTGGTGGAGAGAGGGCTGCTTGAATTACCTGTCTAACCCCAATGGCTCCTTAAAACAGCCTTATTGATTTGCTAAGATTACTGTTATAATACACAATAATGTACCTTTACTGTGTTGACCTGTTGCTCAAGAGGCAAAGTAGAAGATTTCAGTACATCCAGCTGCTTTTCTTTGTCCGATATCCACAAGGAAAAGGTTTCAAACCCAGCTCCAAACTGATCCCACTGAGTTTTCATATCTTCCAGAGTCTTGACACTGGAACACAAAAGTAAATTTTTTTAATTCGCTGAGTAGGTAATAGTTGCAAATAAACCTTGCCAATCATGTGAGATACAGAGTACCAGATAATTCGGTTTACTACATCTGGGTCCTTGAGATTGTGTCAGGTACGTTTCCACACACAATTATTTGACTTTTAATTAAACCTGTGTTAATATGTACATTTTGATTGTGTTGTGCTGCTGTTTGTGGCAAAAGCAGCTCATTTAATACAATAGCATATTAAGCTAAAACCATAATGTATTTGGAAACACTATCTAAAGACTACTAAAACATTGTTAGCAAAAGCAACGAGAATGAAATCCATCATCTTACTCTTTTTTGAGCCCAGCCTCTACTTTGTCCACTTGCTCACTGAGAGAACGAGCTTGTTGTAAAAGCATAGTCTTGTTTTTTGGGCCAAGTTGGATTTCTGTTGCTCTTTTCAGCAAAGTGTTCATATGTGAGGCCTCTGCTTCACACTGCTTCAACAACACCTGTTTAAAAAATAAAGGATTTTGGTAACATTCTCTATTTAGCTAACTACTTTCATTAGTAAAAATGCCAAGAGTATGTCCACAGGAGTAAACCCAAAGAAAACCTTGACTTACTCTGGCCTGGTCAAGTTCAACAGCCAGGCTCTCTGGACTGCTGAAGTTCAGGTCTCTCTCCATTGTTGAGCGTGCTTTATTAACAAACTCATGCACTGCCTCCTGCTGGCTGTCAAACTCCTGCCAGGCTGCTAGTGTGACCTGGTGATGACAATACCCCAAAATCATTGATATCAAATCAAATCCACTTTAATCATAGAGTGCTTTATCTATAAAAAAAAAAACAACAGAGCTAAGCAGCAAACTTGGATATTGCTATTATTGGATGCTCCTACTATCACTATGACATCTAAATATATTACAGCATGAAAATAATCACTTTCCAATGTCAGTAATCCCAGATCAAGATTACTACAAAAAGAACACACTGACATATGAGTTTGGTGCCAATCCATCTCAAACCATGTAATTAAGTATGCAAATAACACTACCATGTTGGGCCCTATCAGCAGGGGTGATGAGTCAGCATATTAACAAAGGTAGCACAGCTTATATTCTGCAAGCGCCACACCCCCAGTGCTACTGCAGCAGTGGTTCTGCTGCAGAGTCAGAAAAATCAGGTTCATCTGCGTGCATCTTACAGAGAACCTTTTATTTGGACCCTTAGTGCATCCTCCCTAACACAGAGAAGCCATACAAAGTTTCCATTTCACGACTCCCACCTCCATCCTGTCCATGTTCTCTAAAAGCACCATCAAGAGTGTGATGACTGACTCAGTGCATCACTATCTTCTAAAGGAACTGTAAAGCCTCACAGTGCATTCCTTATATCAGAAAACATCAATCAGAGCTCTCTACCGTCCGCTCAGGAATTTTCCACAAATGCTGCATCTCCATTAATAGGCGTTATTCTTTTATTTTAAGGGATAAGACACAATAATTAACATAAATTTGATGTAATTGCAATAGTTAGCCAAGATAGTCATGTTCATTTACAGTCCCTGGGCAGGTTGAAAAGATACAAACAAGACACACAAAAAGCAGAGACACATGTAGAAGGATCCATGATAAATATAGGGAAGCCTAGTAAAAGTAATTTAATAACTAAACTGATCAAAAGATTCAGCTCAGAAGCTGACTGTGATCACATTGTACGTTCATTTCGAGTTTTTAGAGTTAGGAAAAGCACAGACAAAAAGTCAGTCTGTCCATATCTGAGCTTACCACATCTTTTAATCAATTTCCAGAAGGAAACCTTTTCCATTTATAACATGTTGCTAATATTTTGCAAAAAACATAACATCACAAATACAGCAAAATCATCCTTAATTCTAAATTTGTTGTTGAAGGTTATTATTCAGAGCAATCCACCGTGAAATGTTATTCACTAACAGTTTCCCCTGAATCACTGCCTTAGTAACATTGCTCACCTCAAGGCTTTGTTCTTGTGAATCCATATTCTGCTCCATTTTGCTGAGAGTGTTCTCTAAATTCTGCAGGTCCTGCTGCAGAGTCTCTCCCAAACCCTCCTCAGCCTGGAGCTGCTGACCTCTGGTGATCAGCTGCTGGACGTCCTTTCTCTTCAGTTTTAGGCGTTTTAACAGTTGCTATGAGAAACACATTAAAAGTTTTGAAGTTACCCTACTAGTAAACTCTTCAAAACAATCAAAATAAAGTATTTCTTTCTCATTTATATTTAGTTTTTTTGAATGTCCTAGAGCACCTGGTGAACAAGAAGCAGTTGCTGGGCTTCTCTGACGGTTGGGCAGTCCAGTATTTTGGTGACCTCAGCCTGAGCCTCTTTCTGCCCCTGCACGAGATCATCCAAAGTAGTCTGTACCTCTTCCCTGAACTGCACACAGTCCCCCACAGCCAGCACCATCTTCTCACCCTGGAAGATATAACAGAGAAAAATACAGTAAAACATACGTGATGAATTAATGCTGGGGTATATATATATATCCAGTTTAGTACAATCAAACATATATTACCTATAAATGAAAGTGTTAATGCCCTAATAAAGTGCACGGGTCTGTTACATTAGATTTTTTTGTATTGTATTGTCCACTGTTTAAAAAATATACTGTAAATTATCAGAAGGAAAATGATGTCTGGAATGTGTAAAACAAGTAAACGCTTTACTTACCTCTAAGAGGGAAGCAAGAAGACCCTTAAAATCAGTAGAGAGCTTGCTAAGTGCACTTGCTTGCCTTTGGGCATCGCTGTCAGCACTGATCTCAATAAGAACAGCCATACGGGCTTTCAGCCAGCCAAGATTCCCCTCCTGTAGCTCTGCATCATTCCTCAGTTCCTGCACACACACACAAAAAGAGTGTGATACAGGCCATGTGTTCATAAGAGTTACCTGACGCAAAGTGTTCTCTCATCTCCTCAGCAGCGACACTGACAAGCAAGTAGCACATCGTAAATAAAGCATCACAGAGGAGGCGAGGAGGGGACTGTCACTGTAGTTGGGCTGCAGGGTGCATGTGCTAACTCACCGTGATGGTAGCCTTCACCTGGCCATATTTTCTGGGGTCATTGGCTCGGTTTCTCAGCAGCCTTAGTTGGCTTTCTTTGGATATAAGCCAGCACGAGAGTTCAGCGTACCTGTTTCATACAGGTAAGGTAAGGGAAAATTTCAATTCAAACTCAAAAAGATTTCAGGAATATTTGCTTGTAAAAGAAAAGGTTGCATTTCTGCACACTATCACCACTGAGTTTATTCCAGGCACACTGTTTCGATCATGGATCTTCGTCAGGCATCCAATTTACAATATGAACTCATCTGTAACATAAAGCTCCTCTGTCTACCAGGTGTGCAACAAACAACACACTAATAACTGCATAAAAATTATATTAGTACTTAAAAATAACAGATTAAAGATTAATTTTCTCTGTTGAGGTCTGTGGTACCTACATTCAAAGGTTAAGCAGCTACAAGGTTTTGCTGTTGCTAATGTGCACCTCCTCAAGATGTAATTACACATCAGGGTTATGTGATGACTACAAGAACTGTAAATGATCTAGTTCAGACTCCTTTGTGTTTACTGCTGTGTTTACTTTATCTGCAGTCTGCAGAATAAAGAACTATATCAGAACCATATGCATTACAAAACCTACTCCTCACTTCAACTCTCTCTCTCTCCTCATCTCAAGTGAATGAAAGAATTTAAACAAGATTACTCTGGATATGTAATGAATGCAGGACACTGGTTAATGAACAACATTCTTCTACTGCTGCCACAGTGCTATGCTGGACTACAACTCTTTCCTTATGCTATGCATTGTAACCACAATAACCCCTTAACAGCATTGAATTAGGACTTCACAAAATACTTAATTATTGCACCTTGTGTTATACTCCTTCCATTTATCTGGGTGCTGCATTAACTTCTGATGGGTGTTCTCGATTTCCTCTTGGACTTCAGAGAAGTCCTTTCTTGCCGTTTCCAGGGTCTGGTGGACAGAGTCACCCTCAGGGAGCTTTTGACAAAGTTCCTCCATCAGCTGCAGCCTTTTCTCACAGATGGACTGGGGGCCCTTTTCCTTAAAAAAGGCCTAGTTGTTGTGTTGGAAGTGAACACCACAAACACAGGATAGCAAAATTTTACTATAAGTGTGCTAATGCTTCATACACTGTGAAAAAATATATGTGAAACACTGCTGACTAAGGACAGCATTTGCTGGAAGAGATTCAGTTCTTTTGGATCAAGTTCATCAAAATCTTCCCATGCTGGTACACAGCAGAGAATTTGCATTGAATTATTTCACAGAGTTAATCAATACACCAAATGCAGCCAGCTGGCCAGTCACTCTGTGCTCACCCTGTGCTCTTTGATGAGCCTTTCGCTCCCCATGCTAGCCAGGTGGCGGTTCTCCCTGGTTACCTCCGCTTGGCACTCCTGCAGTAACACCATCAGCTTACTCCTTTCCACCTCCACTTTAAGATGCAGAAGGTGAAAGGGGGCATCTGTCTGAATATCCTGGGAAATGAAAAATACCAGAAGAAATTCTGTAGAGGTCTGGGCTGGGTTTAAAACTATATCAAGGACATTTTCTGATATCAATATAAAAGAAAAATTCTAACTCATCTTCAAAGTAAGTATTTGCTTCTGTTATGCAAGAGGCCAAACTCTTAAAACTTTTGTGTAAGCTTCAATAACAACATTTCATTATTCATTAATGTAATTAAAACTAAATAAAAAAATTTCGAAATATATTAATATATTTATATTCTACTTGGAGCTACAACCTTGCATTTCAAAAATCATACTTTTCAAGGCACTAACCTTCCAGTGTTTGTGCAGCTTCCTAACTGTTTCCTGTAGCGATTGCTGCTCCTGCTCTGGCAAAATGTCTGTCAGCTCATCACAAGCCTTGAGGAATGCATTCAAGATGCGCTGATCCAGCTGACCAAAGAACTCCTGCAAAAAAATCAAGACCTTATCACACTTTGTGCAGGACAGGTCTGTTGCATTGTTCCATGCTGTGTCAGGACTGACTGTGGTATTTATATATACATGAGTGACACTACAGTACAGCTATATCTGTCATTGTCAACCTAAAAAACGAAGATGTTTGGGGTGCCTCATCAGCACACTTGCACACAAAAAAATCCTGTGATGTAACTATGATGATTGTACCGTCCTTAATCTTGCACAAGGCCCGTTTTCTTACTGTATGTTTCTTGAGCAGCTCCTCTGGGTTGCCTCTTTCTGTCAGACAGCTCTGTGCCATTTTAAGAACCTTCTCCAGCTCTACCCGTGACTCATCAAACCTCTTCATGAGGCTGCTGTTTGCCTCCACATGCTTCCGCCACTCTGTAGATTCCTTAATCATGGCCTAAACACACAAGCACGTAAATCTTTAAATGCTTAAACAGTTCTAAAAGCTGAACGGAATTGAAATAGGCCTTGAGGTTTGGTACCAGGTACCTGTGAGGAGGTCTGCAGGTCAGCTACTCTTTTCTGCAGAAGACTCATGTCCATGTGCTGGAGGGTTTTACTGCTGTTCATTATTTTTTGGATGGTCTGATGGTTTCTCTCTATGACTGTCAAACATTTCTTACAGCTATGAGTGAAGGTCGCCAGCTCCTGTAGTATTCAATGACAAGTAAGGTGTTTATTTATATCTTGAGGCTGTGCTTTACAGTCTAAAGTTGGTTCTCAACAAATGACAATCCTCAGTATTTTATGTAATTTCTTTACGTATCTAAAAGTCATTTAAAAATTGGTACGGTATCATATTGAAAACGTATTATTTACCTGGCATTTCTGTTTAAAGTCTACTGGTCCCTCAGAGTCAGGGGTGCTGGTCAGATGACTGGCCTTCTCCAGAGCCTGGTAGAAGCCTGTGATGTTCTTCTCCATTTCTTCCAGTGGAGGTAATAGAGACTGGGACTCCCTCAGCAGAGGCAAACATCTCTCTCTTACCTGATTGGGGGACAGCACGTCAAAGTGAATCACAGGTGATTAAATCAATGACATTAAATAGAGATCCATTTTTTCAGAAGCTTTAATGCCACAACAGCAACTAAATTCTGTTGAAAACTCTGCATCCTTGGAATCCTTGTATAAAACAATATATTTTCACTGCGAGTTACTATATATTATACAAATATTTCATACAATCACTTAAATGAAAAGTGGCAGCTCTTTTTTCCGTTATGATACAGCAAATTTGAACACACATATACACACACATGCACACATAAAAAGAGAAGTTCAACAAGTGGATGATGGCATACCGTATAATGACATGCACATACCTTGCTAAGCTGCTCTTTGATTGAGGCCATCACCTCCATCATCTGTGAAACTTCCTCCTGTGGAGTGTCTTTGGTCAACAGCTGAGCAGTACGGCTCGCTGCCTTACAGGCAGCTTCCATAGCTGGCACTTTGTGCTTGATTTCCTACATTTGATTGGGATATATAGTATAATGATGTTTCATTGTAAAGAAGAGAGAGGAAAAATCTGTCTAACCTGAAGAAGTTTAGTGTATGGGCTGTTTACCTCAACATCTTGAACAAAGGCTCTGACATTCAGGAAAGACACTTGAACAGGAGCAGTCATCTTCTCATTGGTTGCATCCATGAACATTTTTAAGGTATTTATCCCATCTTGGTAGTCTTGCCTCAACTTATCCACCTCATCTGCTCTTGCATACTGATAATGAAATAGAGGAAGATAGTAAATGGATCATTTATTTTGAAAACTAAAGCTGATTTGACAGAATGTATCATAGCTTTTTTCTCAGTACAGTTGTTCAAAAGGGCATTGTCTTTACATGTTTGACTTTGACAAACAGCTCTCTCCATCTCCCGTTCAGAAGGAGAAGCTGCTGCTTCAGATCTCGTGAGACTGTATCATCGCAGGTCTCAATGAGGAAGTTCCCAGCATCGTTCATGTCCGTGTGCTGCTGCATCCAGTGAGAGAGGTTTCTGAAGAAATCCTAAGAGGAAAGGTAAACAAAAGACCATAGCTATTTAGTACAGTAGATGTACAACTTTCAGTCAGTCACAGTCTCAAATGCTTTGTGACCATTAAAAAACATTATACAGTAGTTTAGCAGCACAAATAAAAGCTGTATATTACAACAAATTTTATCATACTAGTGTCTGTCATTATACTTACACGTTTGGCATTCTCTGACTGATTGAGCATCTGCTCAGCATCCTCTAGCCAGGCCTGCAGAGCTGCCACTGTGCTGCTGTACTTCTCCCAGTTAGATATAACCTCCTCCAGCATGCTGCGAACACTTCGCACCTCCAAAGCCAGGTTCTTCCACTGAGCTGTGGCATCACTGAGGAATTTACTTACCCCTTCCGCTTCATCAACTGAAAGTAAAACATGCCATTAGTTCAGTTTAGTTAAACAAAAATGGGTATCAAATGTACATGAATAAAAAATAAAAAAAAGCATATGATTCAGTGGATCATTTAGCCATTTGATTGATGCTACAGTGTGTTAGGTAACAAAGATGTGCTAAAATAGCATTCCAACTAATGCAATTATTGTTACTTTTTCATGCATAATGCAATACCATGATTTTTCAGGGGTTAAAAGCACGTTTGGAAATGGCTCAGGAGACAGGCAAAGGTTTTAAAGATTGTTAGACTGTTTTTGGACTTACCTTTGTTACAGGTCTTAGACCCTATAACATAAAATCAATAATAAGATTGTTTACTATGAGCCCAAACAAATGTGTGTGTGTATGTATATATATATATATATATATATATATATATACAGATAATATAAGAAACAAACTGGTAATAAAACAGAAACAACTCTTACTTGAACTGTCAGACTTTACATAAACCTCTGCCGCTTGCTTGAGCGCTGTGAAGATTATCTCATACTGCTCAAAGAACCTGTGGCCTTCTACAAAAGTCTTAAATAAAAAGGAAAACAAGGAAAAGATGAAATTGTCTTTGATAGACAGAGTGCTTTTCAATGCAGAAACTGCAACACCACTTATGTCAACTTACAAGGTAAGTTTGCAACAAGAGTTCAACAGAGTCCCGTCTGCCATATTTAATGATCCATGACTTGAGCTTTGACTCAGCCAACATAAGAAATGCCATCAGTCGATACTTCATTTCCCAGAATTCCAGTTTAATAAGGTGTGCATGTGATGATGTAGACACAAAATTGAACCTGCAAATTAAACAGATGTCCAATAATCATTCCACTTTTGCTTTGATTTTACACAAGGTACAGAAGACTTAAACACAGAAAGTATTTTATTTAACTAAAAAAAGAACTAGCAAACATCAAGTTGATGTTAATTAAATACATATTTTAGAAGAAACTGTGCATAATAACTAATTCCCAAGACAATAAGTAATTACACTGATAAAGGTCTTACCGTTCAGCCATATCTTGGAGTTGCTCAGGTGGGACAGGTACCCCATTCACTGATCTGTCCCTGTGGATTTGCTGGAAGGGTTGCCTGTGTGACTCCAAATTTTTTAATACCTCCTGCAAAATGTAATCACATATAATCATGTCCAGATTGGCTTTCCTGTGTATTGTACCCGTATAAAACATTATACGATAACTCAAAAGTTCCACTGTGTTACCTTGTGCTGCTCAGTTTTCTGTGAAGAACATTGGCTGTCTCTTCATGAGCATGTTGGATGGGAATGTCCTCTCTAAGAGCCATCTCTGCCCTGTGAAGCCAGGCTCCAATCACTCCCAGAGGACCAGGCAGGGACTTGTCCAAATGGATATGCCAGTCCAGCAGCTGCAATTGACATCCATTAAAATACCCACTCTACCAAAGCAAGATCCCACCAAAGAGGAGGCTATGCTGATCCAAACAGTTCCACATGTTCGCAAGCAATCAGGCTACAAAAGATTCTAGACAAGCTGTGGATGTCCAGAGGAGCAGACTGCCCAGTGAACAAAACCTCCTCTGTTCCCTCTCCTCCCCTCTGAACAAACTCTAATTCAAAAGCTTGCTGAACTTTCACTGGCAGCCAGTGAAGAGAGGAACCCTAACTTTCACTATGTCAGTGCAATTTGAAAAGAAGAATGACAAATAGCAAACTGACAATCTATTATTTATTCTCAGGTTTTGTTTAACTTAGGTATGATTAATTATGATAATGATATGATTCTGTTTTCTTTGTGGCTTGGTTCTAAATTATTCATGTTGTGCAGAAGTACGCAGTACAATTACCCTGGCAGACACACGGTCCCACGCCTGTTTGACCAGAGCTTGGTCCACAGACAGTTTGCCATCTCTGTGGACTGGCTGCAGCAGTGGATCTGTCTGCTTTTTCTTCATTTCATACTGTACATGGAAGCTCTTAAATGCCTGCAAAGCATATGGTACGAGTTGATAAATGTCTTTGTCAAAGCAGAATGTTATGTAACAATAAACTTTGTTTTTCCAGGCCTGACTCACCTGATATTTGTCAGTGAGGTTTCCCTCTGATCCCTGGGCCCGCAGCACATCTCTCTCCAGCTGATCTAAAAACACCTTCAGCTCTCTCAGCATCTTCCGCTCCTCTCTCTATCACAATCATTGAACATGCAGCTTAGTTTCACAGGGACAAACTGTCAAATCAGCATGCTACTATGTTGAGAAACTCACAACAAACTGACATTCTAGAAACACCTCATCAATTCAGATTAAAGAGAAAAAACACACAGTTAATGAATTGAAAAAGTGTTCATATTTCACACAAAACCAACCTCTACATCTCTACAGATTCATTTTAGAAGTCATGGTAGACGGAAAGGGGGTATGGACACTAGCATCTTCTCCAGACCTCTGATTTTTTTTTAATTTAGTGAAACATACCTCAAGCATTTGTTCTATATCTTGGGGACCAAACTATCCAGGAAAGCAGCAAGGCACACAAAGAGATGCAAACACAGCACAAAATGCATTAGATGCATTATTAAACAGAAGCAAAGAGGATGGAAAATGGGATGAGGGCAAGGTGGGAATACACTCCAAACAGAAAGCATGCAGCACTGATGATCTGAGCTCTCACCTGGAGTACTGGCACTGACAGTGCAAAAGTTGGAATTGAGCCAAGAAGCAGCTTAATGTGCACAAGTAAGATGGAGAAATTAATTGAGTCTGATGATAGAAAACAAAATGTTGATGATAATATTACTACTGTGTTCATGCTATGATTATTTTGATTCGTTGGAGCTTCATGTGAAAAAATAGCAACTAAAAAAATTGCAAGCACGGGCTTACAATAATTAAGCTCGGCAGCAGTTAAAGTATGTTTTCATCAAGCATATACTGTTGTTAGGATGTCTGCATGTGGGCATTCTCTATGAATGATGATACGCTAGGCAATTTGGGGGAAATGTGGATGGCAACAATTTATACAAATCTAAAAATAAAAACACATGGAGTTAAATAATTCTAATACAGTATTTAGTAGTAACACAATGACATTTGTTCTCCAGAAATACCCCGATGTATCAATGCCTAATACACATTTAATGTATAGTATTATAGGTTTTAAACAAAGTACCTCATCTTGCTGTCCATCAGTCTCAGAGTGGTGGGGGTTTGGGTAGTGCTTGAGGAACTGAGCCACATATGTCATGATGGATTTCTCATCTGGCTTGTCTACATCCACATCTACAGAGCAACACAAACATTATCTGACGCACGGGATAAAACTTCACACTAAAAATTTGCTGATCTAAACATAGGCAGCAAATGTTTTTCAGGCCTCTGTAAATCCTGTCAATATATTAAACATGACCTCATGCCTGTAGAATTAAAGCACAGATAAGACTGAGCCATTACTATGACATTAAAAACAAGCATTTCACATACTCAAGAGGATAAATGTCTTCAGGCCTGACAGCTATTATACATGTCTACTTTCATTTCCATCCTTGACCTGATGTTTCTAGAGATCAGGGTGAAGCTCCCCTAAAATCACATTCAGTGCAGCTCTTTGTGCAATAAAGCATCACGACTCTGCTAGTGAAGACAGGACTGCAGAGCCACTGCAGACTGCATCACTTCAACAGACTAAAACTCAGTGTCACAAGTAACACAGAATTAATTAATCATCTGAGGTTTTCACTGATCTTTTCAGCACACATTTAGTTAAAATATTCACACATCATAACTTATATCATTAATATAATTTACTGTATTTGCTGTTTATGTCTAAAATACTGGCAATCTTTACACACTTATATGCACTGCTATCTTGTCTGAATAGTCTGCTACACTGGAATATTTAATGCAAACAGCAGGAAAGGTCAAGGGCACCTTCTGGATCCAGCAGACGGGGGATACCCAGCTCATTTTCTGCAAGTGCAAAGGCTTCCTCCAAATTTTCCTTGTTGCTCCTCCTCCGCACCACCTCCATGTCCACCAGGTCTGGCCTGATGGCGTGCACTACTGACTGGAATGCGACACCATCACGCCAGCTGGACCAAAGTCCTTCACCTCAATTCCATGATGCCTGACAAACACATACGTAGGCATTTTTTTTGTTGCAAAATCCTATGAAAGACTGAAATACCTTAAAAATTTATGGTGCATACATCTGTAACAGGCCTTGTAGGTCCTAGAATATATACTGCAGCGTATACAGTTATAGAAATGTAACACCCATATCTATAAACATATTGTAACATCTGGCCAAAAAGGTAATTTGAAAGTAACATACTTGGCTGCTGTGCACTGCACCCATCCCAGCGGGCCTTCTTGGCATTGCCCTGAAATTTTTTAACCACCTTCTCTTCATTGGAGGGCTTCCTGTTCAGAGCTGGCTACACTCTACAGAGGAGTTGCTGTTGGACAGAGCCTGTAAGGCTGGCAGGTTGTGGTTAACTCCTCAATCTAAATGAACAACAATAACAATTGGCAAGTAAGAGGTTGCAGTGTGACCATAGCAACATGAAAAAAATGGCAGTATTCTTGGCATCCATCTGAATCAGCACTGTGTGATAATTAAGATTACCTGGAAGTAGGGATAACCGTCCTATCAATCCAAGGACAATGATGGTCGTCCATCTGCGATGTCAGTAGCATGAATGTTAACAAGTTTGATCTGAAAACAAAAGCCAAGCAAAGGATTATTCTGGAAAATAAGTCACATGCAGAGTCTGGAAGGGAGAATGTTTTGTATTTTCACTCACAGAAGTTCATTTATAAGTTCCCAAAAGAAGCCTCTTTCTTCTTTAACCAATGTCATCAAGTCAGGACTTTGATGTAGCTAAGTACATATAGCCAAAGGGGGCAGGCGAAACAGCCACATGAAAAGTGAACCAGATGGGGAAAAAAGAAAAGAGGAGACAATTGCGTCCAACTGGGCACTGAAGGAACAGCAGAGGTACCACACACTGCAAACCTTGCATTTGTCAACTGCCACAACTACATTTGAGCAGCTCAGTAGTGTAGGGAGCCAGACTCATCAGTAACCAGTGTCCCAGTCAAAATGCACAAAATGCATGTCAGTAGAAGAGCGTAGTAA